TTTTGATTATTATCATCAAATACATCCACCAAGAGCAAAACCGTCAATGCCACTCCCACTTAGGTGGAAGGTTTTTCTGCTCTAGCAAGGTGTTTTCACATTGGGTTTGATAGGAAGAGGTGTTTTTTTTAAAACTTTTAGGGGTAAAAAGTGTTTGGGGATACTTCCTTTGGCAAACAAATTCATGGCTCAAGAGCCGAGTGCAAATTTCGGCCGTCATCTGACGTCAACAAAATGATACAGGGTGGCCCTTTGAAAGCGAAACAGAGGCTCTGTAGCTCGCCAAAACCGGATTATGGAAAAATCTGCAACACGTCAGCCACATTTTCGAAAGCGACATCGTTCTAAATTATTTTCAGCTCTGCGGCGTTGCCGCTTTTAACGAAAAGTAGCAACAACTAATTCCATGAATGCATCACATTTGAGATCTAGCCGCAATGATTACAGAGCTATAGGGTGTTCAAAATCGAGATTTTTTCAACTTTAACATTTTTTGTGTCAAAACTATTCATTATCGGTAAAAACGGCTTTTATATCCATATCTCTACCTTTGATTTACTATCTACTGACATTGAATTGGAACAGATACAGGGTGATCAGAATTCTGAAACTTGAACCAACCTGTATTTGTTCCAATTAAATGTCAGTAGATAGTGTATCGAAATACGAGATAGGGTCATGTGAGACGCTTTGACCAATGATGAATAGTTTCAACACGAAAAATTCCTAAAGTTGAGAAATCTCGATTTTGAACAGCTTATAGCTCTGTAAATCAGCTCTTTGAGGAGAATCTGAAAATGCAATAAAATACAGGGTGTTCCATTTGAAATAAGAAAGTTGTTGCTACTTTTCGTTAGAAGCGGCAACGCCGCAGAGCTGAAGATAATTTGGAACGATGTCCCCATAGAGAAACGAATAAAAAGAGAGTTGTCAAACCTGCAGTAAAATTTGGCACCACGTTTAGAGCGACACACTTGGCAACTGGGTGGAACTAGTTACTATGATCGATAAAACAGATTCTCTAGTTACCGATTGAGATAAGGCGGTTTATTTCAAACCTTTACTTTCAAAATTTGTATTAATCGAGAAAATGACAAAAAAAATTGAAAAACTTAAAAAAATATATTTTATTCCATCCAAGACATCATGAAACAATAAGTAAATAAAACTCTGAAAAAAAAACAAAATAAGATATAAACTCTTCAGCCTAATAATGACTAGACATCATACAAAAAGGAAACAAACAAAAATGATGAACATATGTTGCCTGGGTGTCAAATTCTGAGTTAAAAAAAACAATATCGAAATTTGGAATAACCAATTCATTCAACTCATTGACAAGAACTGATGATGGCTCTGGCTCCACTGGGCAAGTTGAAAATGAGTTGAGATTATCCAATTTGGTAGTCGAATCTTCTTCACAATTTTTGTTGGCATTTTTAGGTATCATCAACTTATTCAACACTTGCTTGCACACTTGAATTTATATGCACGGGGTCTTGACATCTCACCACACTTTTACATCTGTGATATTCTTTTAATCTGAATTACTGAAATATTACATAAAACAAACATAAAACTGAAATCAGTTAACATGCGTTCTTCAAGAATACCTACTTCAATTCGATAAAATGTATGTTTAATTCAGTTCCGTTCATATTTCGGTTAGTTCAGAATGAAAGAATATCACTTATGTTTCTATAAAAATGTACCTACGTGCAGCCTACATGAATATTATCAATTTCACCTTGTCAATAATAGAAATAAACTCGGAAATAAAGTAAAATAAATGTGAAAGAGAAACTCGAATTTCAGTATCAACATCAACTCGGAAAATAAACAATATCTGTTGTATTCCATTGGTCTGTTCCTTCGTTCTAAAATGGAACTTGCTAAAGTTGATGTTTTTCCATAGTTGCCTCTGTTCATATCATGATATAAACAGAGAAAGTCATAGAAAAAAAAATCAAGTTTAACCAGTAGAGCAAACACATACGAACAGGCCTTATACTGTCGTGCTGTCGAATGTCGAAATTCAAAATGTTTCATGTCATGACTCGTTTGTCGATTGCGAACAGCGCCTCCATGCGCGACTGGGTTGCGCACAAACTTGATGGTCAATATTTCCTATGTTTTGAACAGTCTCTTTATTTTTGGTTTGTCTATGGATGTCCCTTTCGAGAATGTAGTTGACGTGTTTCAGATTTTTTTTCATAAACCGGTTTTGGCGACCTACAGAGCCTCTGTTTCGTTTTCAAAGGGCCACCCCGTATGTCCCCAAGACAGGTTTCATCGAACGGCAATTTGCACTCAATTGCGCGATTTGATAACGAAATGAGAATTAATCATGCCCTCTGATACAAATTTAATACACACACTGGCACAATTAGGGGAACGGGTAAAATTCACACTAAGTTTGACATCAATTTTCTCTCGAACCGATCACTCGATTCAAATTTGGTTTACACGAATTGTAGCTTCATTCTTCACGAATACATCTGAGAAATAACCACCTCCAAACGATTCGTCTTTATATCATATACAGGGGTGTAAAGAAAGAACGGGTTTTTCGGTATTCTTTAAGACATCCTGTGGAGTGAACCACTGATAATTGAAACGATTTTCCAACACAAAATTATAGCCCAATTTATCCCGAATATTTTCGTTTTTTATTCATCTTGATATCCCAATTATCCAAGAAAATATAGAGTTTCAAAGAAGAGGTGGATATTCGTATTAATTTTACCACCTCGAAACTCGAACTGGGGAGATCGTGTCGTTTTTTCAACTTGTTTCTGTGAGGATTTTTACTCCAAGATGAGAATTGTTCACAGTCTTACCTATCGGTTTACTGTTTAAAGACACATATACGAATACTCTCATGAATATGCAGGGGTGATAAAAGTTGCTCCAATGTTCTTTTGGTCATTAATTATTGTCAAAGTCAAGCGATTCACAATTCATGAATTCGAATAATGAAAATTCAACGTGAGAGATTTGACTCCTACTGATGTGGCGAGAGCTGTAGCATTAATTGAAAATGACCAGTGGGCCAATGTTCCTTAAACATATGAGAGTCGCATCTGTACCAATTCAATAGATGGCAGGGAAAGACTATATCGCCGAGGTGAACAAAATGAACAATTTGATTTTACTGCTTCTGTCTCCTGTAGCAGAGGTTTAGTCATGGTTAGGTTAGGTTAGTCAAGAAACGACACATTTTCAGATTCAATTTGAGTTTTGAGGTGTAGAATTGATACCATCAATGTCCACCTTTCCTTTGAAACTCTGTATTTTCTTGAATAATTGAGATATCAAGATGAATAAAAAACAAAAATATTCGGAATAGATTGGGCTCCAATTTGGTGTTGAGAAATCGTTTCAATTATCAGTGGTTCAGTCCACAGGATGTCTAAAAAAAAACACCGAAAAATCCGTACTTCCTTTACACCCCTGTATATGATGGAAAGACTCATCGTTTGACGGTAATTATTTCTCAGATGTATTCGTGAAGCATGAAGCTACATTTCGTGAAGAAAAAAAATTGAATCGAGCGATCGGTTCGAAAGAAAATTGATGTCAAACTTAGTGTAAATTTTGCCCGTTCCCCTAATTGTGCCAGTGTGTGTAGTAGCTCCCAAAAACCTTCCTGTGCCCCTCCTCAATCTGCCGTTATCCCGGACATACTTCCGTCATGTAATAAGGAGTTGAAACCAAATGCAAATGAATAAGGATTATGTCCCCCTTACGAATATACAATCGGTCTGCGACTCAAAATGATCTATGTGACCACTGTGAAACTCACCATGTGGATTAGAATACTCGTAGTACTAGCACCGGATGAGTTTTTAAACTTTTCCATCGGAGCTTATCTTTAGGCGGTGGCGAAATATTCTCGGAAACATGGACGCTCTGCCACTAACTTTGTCAGTTTGAGTCGCGGCACTTTTGAATGTTCGCAAAGGGGACATTATCCCCTTTCATTTTTTTGTTTCAACTTGTTATCACATTATAGTAGCATCAAACAAATCGCTGTGCCATGGATTTGGCTCAGATTGAGGGGTGGCACAGGTACAGGGTGGGCAAAATTGGGCGTTTTCATCGTCTATCTCAATAACTAGAGGAGTTATCGAAAAACCGATAAACATGTTCCGGGTTCGATTTTGGAGAAACCTCGAATGGTACAATCAAAATTCCGATATCTTCATTCGTTTAAGAGATACAGGGGGAAATTAAAAATTTGCCGATTTCGATTTTATTTTCTGACTACTTTACGGTGAGAGGTATCAAAAAATTTAAAACGTATATTTATACAGTATGATGCGTGGAATCCATTGGCATCATCAGAAATTTTATACAGGGTGACGTTGAGAAAATACGGCAGCCAATTATGTTTTTTCTAATGGAACACCCCGTATATTTTGGCACAGTTGAATAGTCCCAGGCGTTCTCATTACAAATATATATATATAACCCTACCTTTTCCTTCCACAATTTCAGATATATTCGCAAAAATATATTCAGTGTGTCACATTTTTTATGGTTGCACCCCCGTATCTTCTGTAAGAATAATTGATGGAAACATTAACAATCCTAATATTTTGTGGCAGAATGCCTGAATATGATACTTCACCCATTATTTCTAGTATGCCTTAATATTTTTGCGTTCAAAGAGATAATAAATAAGATATATATTTGAAATTGAAACGGGAACTTTCCAGCTCTGCCAAAATATACGGGGTGTTCCATAAAAACAATTGTTCTGTATCTGGAATTACAGTTAATACTAGAGTTTTGCCAGTAACTCACCCTTGGGTAATTAAGAGGCTGAAAATTTAGGTACCTAAAATCCCGTCAACTAATTTTTTCATCAAATTTATTGACGATATTCACGTTTTTAGGAGGATGTGTCTAATAGAAAACGAAAAATTTCAAATGGAAAATCAAAGGTGTGACTTCTGAATATTATGTTTTCTTTTCATGATGGTTTTGTTTTTCAGGAGGAAGAGGATGAGGAAGAGGAACCAAAAACCAAAAAAGTTAAAACAGCAACTAATAATAAGGGAAAAACGCCGGTGAAAAATAAAGCGGCTGTAAAAAATAAGTAGGATCATAACATCCCCATATTGGGGAATACTTATTTTTTTGGTCATTTTGGTAATGTTTTCCATAGACTACTAAATACGGATAGATAGGACACTTTAAGGATATTCTGTGAATACATGTTTGCGCGCCCTCTGGCGGTTTGGGGTGAAGTATTTTTGAAACTGGCGGCAAATTCAAATTGATATAAAGTGGTAATTTCAATTTAATTTCAAATTCAATTGAAATTTTAGATGCCAAAAATTCATACGATGTTCTGAACATATTCAAAACATCCTATGACATATAGGGCATCGAAATTAAGAGAACTGAAAAAAAAAGGGAAAACCAAATAATTTTGAAATAATTATTAATAATATATTTTATTTACAACAAACTCACTTGACAATAACAAAACCAAAAGTTTCATTAAATTCATGTCTAACAATCCATTCAGAACCTAAAACAGTCAAACTTTTCACCCCAAAAATATCAATTTTCAGTCCTGTTTGAAATATAAAAAATGTACTACCTACTTGTTTTTTTTTATTGTTTTTTGGTATTTTTGTCCGCAAATTTTAAAAATGGGTGATGCTATTTCAGGAATTTTCCTTTTGTCATCGCCATTCAGAATCCTATTCAACTGAGCGAGGAAATTATGTCCTACAGTCTTTAAAAATTTTTGGAAAACAACTTCCTTTATTTCAGTATTGTGTTCGCACTGGGTGAAATTGATTTCCTTCTTCAAAATTCTCAAAATGTAGACGAATATGTTTCTTGTGAAGGTTTCTGTTCAGAATATATTTTATAATATTCAATGATCTGGTCATTTCTTGAAAAAAAAAAAAAAATTGAAACATATATCAGTTTACAATTCTTATATTGTTTAAGAACTGTGAATTGGTCAGTTTCTTCTGTTGCCCCTTCTTTAGTCAAAATAATTCCAGCACAAGAACAGTTTTTAAAACTATTTTTGGCATTTCTGATTAAGTATCCACTAACATATTTCAATGCCTGCTCTTCTAATGGATTTAATTTTTCAGAGAAGGTTTGGGGGTACGTCAATTCTTCAAATAAGTCTTCTTCCTCTTCTTCAGCTATTCCCTGTGGAAAAGAAATTATCTGAAATACTTGAAAGTTACATGAAACAATATCATGTTATTAGAGTTAAAAATTGAACAAACATTGTATTAATCAATATAAATACCTGTGTCACAAATTTCGTTAGTGTCAGGAATATTTCAGACCTGTCTTCTTCACAATTTGATCCTATTGAATGGGATGATGTGAAATCCTTGACTGGCAAGCTCTTATAAAAAGGGGTGAAAGCGGCTGCTGTTGGTGTGTTATACCCAGCTCCTCTCTGGCGTATTGTCCCAAAGAAATTTTCTAGAGGGTCCTGGTTGAACATACGAGGTAGCAAGTATAAAAATCCATAACACAATACCTGTAATTAAGAGTCCATCACCACAGTGGCATTTATACGTATAACACGGTCACGCAAATTCGAAATTTCTTGAAAACGGTTGAACATATCGATTTGAAACAAAAACAGGCCATTAGATAACACCTGAATCTATGTACGTCCTGTAATGGAATTTGGAATTTCCTCAAATTTTTTCCATTATGATTCGAAACATTCCACCAAAATCAAGCTACTTCGAGGCCGATTTTTGAAATTTGGGTAGGAAATTTCAAAAAAGCCTTACAGCACGAGCACGTACGTGTAGATTGGACTTTTATCTTTCATTTGATACCATAATCATTGAAATTGGACGAAGGATGCTTTTGAATCTATGTTGAATAAAAAAGCCCTGCAGCTTCCTAAATGACTTCAGAACGGCATTGGGGAGTGCTGCCGCCGCGGTCATTTCAAGTATTAGCTGTCCCACCACAAGCAAAATTGAATAGACAGGGTCGAACGCGCCTAATCGGTATCCAGGTATAAATTCCTTCATCCATTATTCCATGGTTACCTAATATCACTAAGAGACAGTTTCTTCCAAAGTAGATAGTTGTGCATAGCTCGTGTTTATAGTTCTCCTTGAGATAAGTGGACAATTATTGTGATAAGTGAAAATGGAAAGTAGAAAGGCACAGAAATGCGATTTTTGATTATAATAATAATAATAATAATAATAATGATAATAATGAAAATAATAATGATAAAAAAATTATCTGACCGACAGAGAACACAAAAAAAACATGTTGAAATAGAAAATGAATAGAAGTTTGGAAAACTGCAGAAACACGCTTTTATTATAATACGATATATTGAACATTTTCAGTTATACTGAGGTTGGCAACCTAGTTGCCGGAATATGTTTTAGGCTTTAGTAAATATATCGATGTGGTATTTTGGATATATTTTTTATTTGGTTGAATTGATGAAGTTCTATTTCGCCTATAGAAAATCCTATAAAATTCATCCATTTTATATCCACCTTCTATTGTTATTTAATTTTTTAGCTTTTTCTAGAATAATATTTTTCAAATAAAATAAAAAATTGACTTTCCTTTATCAGTCCTTCGAATAGCAAGGATTACGAAGATATAATTGACAACGTGATTATTGAACCGGCAACATCTAGCCAATTGATGAGTAAAAGAACGTGATGGATATAAACTTGATTGATTTCATTGGCTTCTCTATTGGCGAAATAGTACTTCATCAATGCAACCAAATACAAAATATATCCAGAATACCACATCAATATTTAGTAAAGCCTGAAACATATTTCAACAAATGAGTTGCCTTCCTCAGTATGACTGAAAATGTTTAATATATCGTATCATTATAAAAGCGTGTTTCTGCAGTTTTTCAAACCACTATTCTTTTTCTACTCCTCTTTAGTTTGCTTGAATTCCCAAATTTTGACGAAAGGATCATAACCTCCGACCCCAAAAAGCTACAGGTAAAAATTTTGAATGAAATCGTATCATAATTACAAAACTGGTCCGCCATATTGGATCCGCTATCTTGAGTTTCCTAATTTTGACAAATGAATCCTGATCTCCGACTTCGAAAACCTCCATCAGATACAGATTTTGAATAGAATCGGACCATAATTACAAAACTCGTCCGCCATCTTGAATTTTCAAATTTTGACGAGAGAATCATAATCTCCGTCCCCGAAACCCTCAGATATCAATTCAAAATGGCGGACAGACGGGACCAATATGGCGGACGAGTTATGTAATCATGATCCTGTTCTATTTAAAATTTGTACCTGTGGTTTTCGGGATCCGAGATTTTTTTTTCATCTTTTGGAGCGCACGAAAGGAATAAAATAATACTCGTGGAACATCGTGCGTACCTAGGGAGGATAGGGAGAGGATGTAGGTGTTGGATTTTTTCGAACTTTTGTGATTTGTGTGAAAACAGCAGCCGCAGTTGGCAGCCACTTCGCCATAGATGCGCGATTATATACCTCACGCCCAAAGAAAGAAGATGCACGAAGGAATGATAGCAGCCATTTTAATCCTATAAAAACGATCGTATACCGTACATATCGAATTACAATACATATCGATCGGAGAGACAAAATGTGATATACTGCCTGATTATGAACTCATTAACCCCGCGTCAAAATGATAAAAAATATTGAAAATCATTACTTTTTCGATTATTTGTTGTATAACTCAGAAAGGAGTTTTCTTTCTCAAATCGATCAGGGAAAGGATGAGAACTATATTTCCTGATCCGAAACTCATTGGCCCCCCGTCAAAATGATGAGAAAATATTAATAATCATAATTTTTTCTATAATTTGTTGTATAACTCAGAAAGGCTATCGTGTGCACAAAGTTCTCTTTCTCAAATCGATCAAGGATGAGATAGAGAATATATTGCTTGATTCGAAACTCATTGCCCCCCTGTCAAAATGATAAAAAAATATTGAAAATCATTATTTTTGCGAATATTTGTTGCATAACTCAGAAAGGCTATCTTGTGCACAAAGTTTCCTTTCCCAAATCGATCAGGGAGGGGAAAGAGAATATATTTTTTGAATCGAAAATCATTGGCCCCCCGTCAAAATGATGGAAAAATATTAGAAATCATTATTTTTCATTATTATTATTAAGAAAACTTCGTGCACACGATAGCCTTTCTGAGTTATACAACAAATATTCGCAACAATAATGATTTTTTATATTTTTTCATCATTTCGACGGGGGGCCAATGAGTTTCGATACAAAAAATATATTCTCTATTCCATCCTTGATCGATTTGAGAAAGGAAACTTTGTGCACACGATAGCTTTTCTGTGTCATATAACAAATAATCGAAAAAATAATAATTTTTAATATTTTTTCATCATTTTGACGGGGGGCCGATGAGTTTCGAATCAAGAAATATATTCTCTTTCCTCTCCTTGACCGATTTGAGAAAGAAAACTTTGTGCACGCGATAGCCTTTCTGAGTTATACAACAAATAATCGAAAAAATAATGATTTTTAATATTTTATCATTTTGACGGGGGGCCAATGAGTTTCGATTCAATAAAAATATTCTCTATTCCCTCCTTGACCGATTTGAGAAAGAAAACTTTGTGCACACTATAGCCTTTCTGAGTTATACAACAAATAATCGAAAAAATAATGATTTCTAATATTTTTCTGAAATCTAAAAATCTGAAAATTTCCATAAGAAAAAACAAAGTTATTTAAATTATCTCGAAAACGTAGGAAGATATATTTCATTGTTCTATTTTTTATTCAAAAGTTCTTGAAAAAGTGCTCAGGAAATATCAAAGCCAGAATGCCGTAAGTTTTCAAATAACGGAGATACAGGGGATTGTATAAAACGCACCATTTTGGTTTTTCGCAATTATTTCAAAAACATAAAACGATCGAAAAAATCTGATGGCAATTCTGAGATAGTAATAGAATTCTGAGAAACATTGCTCATTCGAACGTTTGCCGGGTCAGCTTTAAATTATATTCTAATGAATGGCTGAGTTTCTGAAATAATAAAATTGTATCCAATATCCAAATGAATATGAATAGCGTTTCATTTCACCCTAAAATGCCCTATGCTTTCAATTTTATAACCGCACTGCGCCAAGCTGTTCTAAAAAAAAAGCTCTCTACTGTGGATGAGACAAGTAAAATGAAAATAATGAAATGTTTGAGTATTCTGTGGCAGTGGCCAGCGGGCCAAATTACCACCTGAATACATGCTTGCAATTCTTGCAAATTCGCCGTGGAAGGGGTTGTGATGTCTCCGCCTACCGCCGTCACCCTCTCGCACCTCATTCCTCAGGTGATCCCCTAGCAGAATGAGTGATCTCACTCTAAAGTGTTTGTGAAACAGTTATATAGTTCCATCTTTATTCATTTCTGGGGATAAACACTAGATTTTTGACATTTGTTGTTTTTTAGGTTATATTGAGGTCACTGGCGTATCATACGTAATTTCTATATGGAATTCCTGATTCAACTATACCAAAATATAGATGAACAATCCTCTAGTTTTAGAGTTCACTACTCCAGCATAATTTTTGCGAGGTAGGGAACATATGAATTTTACTGAAAGCTCAATATATTTCACCAAAAGAGACTGTTCTTAGCCCGTAAACAAGGGTCGACTGAATGAATTCTAATTTCAAACTGAGTAGTACTTCTATATGAGCTGAATGAGCTCTGAGCCTTATGATTGAGAAATGGTGAAAACCTCGATTTGAGTTTCTAAACTACTATACTCATGTAATGTGTGCTAAATATATTTTCGGAAATCCAACTCGAAGAAGAATTTATGGAGTGACTAATATCACACTATGTATAAAACTTCGTCTAGGACGAAAAGTAAGCTGATA